GAGTTCAGTCATTATTCTTATGTCGTTTACTCACTCCTAAAGAACACTTTAGACCTAATTAACAATTTACGCATAAGATTTGTATGAAAAAAAAATGTTGAACATTGATCGTTAAAACCAGGTTGCTATGATTTTATTTAGCCTGGTTTCCATATGATCACTACCATCGCTGTGATCGCTGCGATCGCTGAGCAAAAAAAAGTTCATCGATCGTAGCGATCATAGCGATCATATGGAAACCGCTTTCTAGCGATCGCAGGGATCGCAGCGACAACGATCGCTGAGATAGAACTTTTTCTATCCCAGCGATCGTTGTCGCCGCGATCGCTGGAAAGAAAAATGATCGCTATCATTGCAGCGATCGCTGAACTTTTATTTTTCTCAGTGATCGCAGCGATCACGGCGATGGTAGCGATCATATGGAAACCAGGCTTTAGGGAGCGGGAGAAATTACATATATCCGCATTTTGGTTTCCATATGATCGCTACGATCGCTTGAAAGTGTTTTCCATATGATCGCTATGATCGCTGCGATCACTGACCTTGTTTTTTTCTCAGCGATCACAGCAATCATAACGATCATATGGAAACCAGGCTTTACAGATGACGTTTCTTGCTGTGAATCCTTTGAAAAATGAATGATTCATAGATTCCGTCCTAGCCAAAAAGTTTGAACAAAATTTCGCCAAAATTTACATAAATACTATTTGTTTGTCTATTTTTTTTCTCATCCAATCAATTCAAGCTCAGACAAAAGGCAACTAAAAAATTATTTATACAAGAGAATTCTGAAGACTGCCAAGCTCAGCCAAAACAAAATACTGCGTTCATCAAACCTAACTGGCGTCGAAACACCCAAAGTAAGGCTTTTTAGATCAACGAGTACTGAACGAAAGCGAAATTAGAGAGTATGAGCAACGGCGTTTTTAAGCGATGCACTTTAACCGGAAACTAGTTTTTACCGAGTCCTTTTCTCTTGAATTATGCCTTGGCACTACCTAATTTCTATTGCTAAGTATCTTTAGTCTTACAGCGACGATTTGCCCAGAAATTTGGTCAAAATCATATATGGCCCAAGAAAGCAAAAAGTTCACTTCCAGTTGACGTACGACACTCAAAAACGTCGTTGCTTAAACTTGCAGTTACTTAAAGATGGACGTAAAGGCTAGTATCTCATTATACTGTATAATGACTCCCACGGCAAACGAGATACCGGAACACGAACTTAACGAGTGGTTGAAAACATTATTTTTCTCTCTCGAACGAACGTGTCTGCTAGGACCAACTATCAACTTACTAACGAGAGCGCTACGTTTCCAGTTCTGCACCCCCGTATATCGACTTGACTGATACAGAACTCTCTCTGAGAGAGCGCTTAATTAAAGGGATGTTGAAGAATCGTAAAGGAAAATAATATTTTCCGGTTTGTTCTTATCTTGTTGTTGCCTTTTTTTTAAGTTACAGTGAATAATTTCTAAAAGGCTTTCTTAAGTATCTTTGTCTGTGTGTACACGGCAGTGTGATACAAAAGTAAAGATGGACGGCTTGTTTGTTCTGGTTAACGATAATCGATAAGAGTTAATGCGCTGGAAACAATATTGCATGCAAATTGACGGACTGAAATTCTCCACTCGCCCTGATAATACTCATGCCAAATTTAAAACAATCTTGTCTTCTTTTCCAAACGTTTGTCGTGCTCTTTTCTTATACAACACCATCAGGTGCTGCCGGGCTCATATTAACTACTGACACTGAGTTATTATAATCAACCTAATAATTTTGTAATTCTCATAGTATTTAAACGTCATTCTTGGAATCATTTTAACCTTACCATGTAGGAAAGCGATACTTTCCAAAGGTTAATAAAGCGTGTCTCTTTTTGTACAAATAAATTTTGATTTCTGCTGAGACTGGAAGAGTGTTCGCCTATCATTATTGAGGGTTCCGATCAGGGAGTTCCGAGTATAAACAAGGGGACATAAATTAAAATTACTAAAAACAGCGGTTTGTTAATTTTTTTATTAGGGCAAGAAACGATTTCGTTGTCAGGATACGTTCTCGACAAAGTAGGTACCTACTTAAGAGACTTAATGTCACGAACAAGAATTTTAAAGAAAACATCAACTGCCGAACACTTATTAAAACGGTTCAAGTATCGCCATATTAGTCTGAATCGTAAGATTCGTTGTAAAAATAATACGTTCAGGCGATCGATCATGACGGACACTCAAGTCAGGTTTGAATAAACAAATTTCCCTTTTAAGACTTTGGCAATTGTCATCGGCGCGAGATTTAATTTTTCCAGTCTAACTATCTTCCAAAGATTTAATAATTCATTCAGTCTTCGACCATGATGAAAACTTCACGCAACGTTGTAATAGATGCAAATTATTTGAGGCATTGACACGTGGCGGGAAAAATTACTTCCGGTCACCGCAGCAGACCATTCTGTGACACGCGTGCAAAACGTCTGCGCATGCGCAAGGTCTCTATTTTCAATAATTAAACTTTGCAAAATCTTCCTCATTTAAATTGAAAAAGACTCAGGAATGTTTGATATGTTTAATGGTTTGCAGCCGGTTCTAGTATTAAGCACAACAAAAAATTACTTAAACTAACTTAACTAACTGGTAAAGTCGTCCAGTACGAGGTTTTTCCGTCCTTGTTTTTCCACTTAGCATGCATTGGTCGTTTTCGTTGTTCGCATTGACCGAGCTCAGCGACATGATGACCAAAACAGCAACAATGGCTACGGCGAAGTGCTGCCAGAGCGAGCGTGGACTTTCAAACAAAATTTTTGCCTTTGGTGCAAGGAGGAAAGTATGTGGTGCAAAAGAGAGAAACTAAAGCAATTAATAAACTTTGTGTTCGTGAAATTCTAAGCTTATCTTTTGTGTGTGGAGCTTACTTTTTTGAATTTCGCGGCCCGAATCTAGTTTGTTTTGGTATCGCGTATAATTTCGACTGGCAAATTCGCGCCGGAAGCAGGTAAGGCACGCATGCGCACTGCGTTTTTCACGCGTGTCCCATTCTGTAGTCGTTGCTAAGCTGGAGTGACGTCACGAGAGGAATAGCTCAGGGCTCAATCCTCGGCCCTCTGATATTTAATATTTTTATAAATGATCTATTTTATGTTGTGAAACAGTGCAATCTTTTCAGCTATGCCGACGACACAAACATTGTCTATGCCCATACAGAGGTGGAAAGGGCAATCAACTCAGATCTTGCGTTGGTAGACAAATGGTACGATCTGAACGGTCTTAATAAAAGAAACAATTCAAAATACCAAGCCATTTTTATAAGTAAAACACAAAACAAACCGACTTTTAGGTGTAAAATTACGATCATTCCCATAACTCCTCATTTGGAGATGCTTGGCGTCAACATTGACGACCAGTTAAAGTTTGACAACTATGACGTGTCTAAGGTTTCCAGAAAAGTGTCACAACAGATAGCGGTACGGTATTGAATTGTATTGTATTGTATTGAATTGTATTGTGTTGTATTTACAGTACCGCTCGCGTATGTAACGCCGGTTGCGAATTTTTACCTGTTAAAGAACCCCTTGTCATGATCATCATAAGTTTGACCAACATCCGGCGCAAATCCAAAAAAGCCCAAGAAATGGGTGCTACTGAAAAATGGAGGGGTTAACTTCTCTGTTAACTGTGGTGATGAAGCGGTGAGTTGGTTAATCAAAGGAAAATACATGTTATGCGGCCAGCTGAGATGATGAATAAAAGTGGCTACTGGTGCCTAAAATTCTTTAAGAAGTACTGTTTTAATAACTCGCATTTCGTCAAAGAGAATAGAATTAATTTGGCAGTTCTAACTTCTTTCAATTGCATCTTCAAACGTAGAGCCATATGCTTCAGTCACGGGAACATGTCAGGGTGAAGACATGAATAAAATCTTTCCATTCATGTACAATTTTCGAAGCTTATCTAATTTCCCTACATTTTTCTAAAGTTTAATTTTGACACATTTCATTTCCCATCAAATTTAGGCTAGTTTTCTTAGAAAAAAGGAAGCCTAATCTTTTTGGACTTAAAAATGAAATGGAAAGAGGAATCAGAAAAATTCTCACTTTCTTAATACGTTAAATTGCATAATTATAAAATTATCGGGAAAATAATACTGTCTGAATTCCTCGTAATTTCGAGAAGACTCAAGTTCCCCAAGGATGATCTAACCCATACAATTTTTATACCACCACTTAGAATGCTTTTCTAGATATTTAAAAGTACTCTCATCCTGGATAGCCAAAAAAGTGTTTTTAGTGAATTTAGGAGGAAACCGTTGTTGGGTGCCGGCCCCTGATGAATACTGCAAACTTGAAACTTTCTTAGCCCGATTTTTATCGGGACCATTGAGAAACGGGCCCCAGTTTCTTTCTTTTTTTAGGTCATACCTGGCTCCGAGGCTGAAAGTAAAAGACCACAACCTAGAAGGTTTCCAAGCACATCTTTATTGCAACTATATATTCACCACGATAGTAAAGCAACTACATTTGTTTGCTAACAGTCTCCACGAAATCAACTACAATCATATCATTATTTTATCATTCCCTTTGCCTAAAGACCCCTTCTCAATACAAAAAGATAATATTACGCTTAAAGTGCATATTATTTCTCACGTTTGCGATTCACATATTTGTTCTAGCTTATGCTTGGAACGTGACGTTAGCTCTACACCCACTTGTACAGGGCGCTGTTTAGGTTATATTTCTGGTTGTAATGGTTTACCACTGCAAGGTATGTGTGACCTTTGTACTCAAATGACGTCATACCATGCCCTCCATCTGTTGAAATCTCTTGGTACTTGATGAACTGCGCTCCAGAAGCTTGGTACACAACTGACTGAGTGTTTTGTTTCTTACTGTCATCATGGTAATTAGACACACCCAGGTACGTTTGACCGCTGATCATAAATGGGTGCCAAGCGACAGCCCCGTGAGTAGGTAAGGACTGGAACAGGACGAACTTGTTGCCATTCCACTTCTAAACGAAGGAGTCGGTGTTGTGTTTACTTCCAGAGTGGCGGTTGGCAAAGACAAGGAATGTGTGAGTGTTAATGTTAAAAGACGTGACATCAAATGCTCCATGAGTCTGAAGAGACTGCAGTTTAACAAAGTGACCTCCTGACCACTTGAACACACTGGACTGAACAGAACCCTTGTGTTGGGAGTTGTAAAAGTTTGCAAAAGCGATGAATGTGTCACCGTTTATCGCAAACGCTGTACATCCCACGGCACCTTCAGTTGGTATGTCTTGAAATCTGTTAAACTTGCCACCGCTCCATTTGTAGATAACTGACTTTGTGGATGTGGTACGTCCGTCATGGTAGTTGGCTACTGCGAGGTACTTCTCCCCGTATATCTTGAAGTACGTGAAGTGATTTGCTCCGTTTGTTGACAATTTCTGAAAGTCGACAAACAGCTTTCCATTCCATTGGTAGACTGTAGAATCCAGCCGGTTAGTTCCATCGTAATGATTAGCCACAGCAAGAAAATGTTTGTTTGCGATAGAAAAGTACTCCAGGTCAAAAGCTCCTCTTGTCTGCAGGGTCTGGTACAAAGACAATCTTCCAGTCGAGTTATCCATCTTGTAGATCATGGAACCTGTCTTGTATTTTTTAATGTCCCCATGATAGTTGGCAAAAGCAAGAAACAAGCTTCCATCAATGGTGAAATGTTCCACATCTACTGCTCCGCGAGTTGGAAGTTCTTGAACTTTCTCAAAGAAGTGGAATCCAATAGAGCAATCTTCCACAAGAAAAAAAAATGTTGAAAATCTTTGTTATTAAGAAATCACAAGAACAAAACAGCTAAAATAAGAGTAAAGGAGGGTCTGGATGGGGGGGTACAAATGTCTTTTTCACTTAAAATTTCGGCCATTTGCCAGTTGTCAGTTAAATGGTTATTAATGATTAACTTTGAAACTTATTTGTATATTTTTGACGCGAAATTTGGCTTAAAAGGCACATATAATGTAAATTAAACATTAAATTCGAAAACTGATGCCATAGTACCTTAATTTTCATCAGTTTTGCTATTGTACATGTTGTAAGCATTTCAATTGGCCCTCCTTTTCTCAAGTCTCGTGTTACTCCCCTCCCCTCGAAAGTTTTGGCTGGCCAGTGTCTAATATTGCCAACCATTAAGCCAATCAAAATTATCCCTTCGGAATATTGTATACGCATTATGCGTGAGTCTTATAACGCCTGTAGACTAAAGACATCGACATTACGCATCAAGGACAATTTCTCACGCCTGACTCATAAATCCTGACAAATTGTTCTTAACACATGATGACTTTGTGTCCTTTTTTGTATTCTAACGAAATCATATCAAAGCTCGCTAAAGGTGTCGTCTTTTAAGTAGCTTCGGCAGTGCTCAAACGTCTTCGGGAACATCTGCGGACATTTAAGTTTTGGCAACGTTCGGAAGTCTTCGGAAATTCGTCCAAAATCTTCGGAAGTCGCCGGGACGTTTACGGAAATCTCCGTCATGACAAGGTGAAAATCTCACGCATTTGACTTAGAAAAAGTTGGCAGGTATAATATTGAGACGTAGATCGTAAGAAGACCAAGAAAAACGGCCAGCTCTGAATCATCTCAGTAAAAACTGCCAATTGCCTGTGTAACGCCCTCATTCTGAGCAGCCATCGGATGCTGTCGCGTTCTCAGAGGAGCGTAAATTTGAGATCATAGGTCATTTACAACAGATGGTACATGACACAAATGAGGTTTACAGCAAAATTATTAACGAAATATGACACTTATAATTAAGCGTCTTGCTGCTAAGATTACCCTTAAAAACGCACATTTGATCATATTGTCTGATGAAAAGAGTGGAACAATGCTATTTTGAGGCCTTAAAAACGGGTTTTGTAGAAAATAAGGGACAATCAGGTCCTTTTGTCAGCTGACAGTAAAACCCAAGGTAAATGTCAGTTGTCAGTTAAATTTTCGGCCATTTGTCAGTTAACCCCATCCAGACCCTGGTAAAGGGACCCGAAATCTCCTTTTACATCTTCTCACTTCCTTATTCTTCTTTAGCTTCTACTTGTTCCTACTAATCACTAATAACTCCTACTCCTACTCCTACTCCTACTCCTACTCCTACTCCTACTCCTACTAGCTAACAATCCAAATAGTAGAGCCTTTTATAGCCAAACCTGGTGATGTTTGGGTTTGCTGACCGTGAGAATAAAAGAAGGCTGGCAAACTCAATGTGGGTAATGTTTTGCTATCTCTGGGCCTAAACGGCTGCGATCGGCAAGAAGCTGCGACCCAATTGAAAACTAACAGCTTTGGTTAACGAACCCAAACAGGAACTACTTCAGCAAGACTTAATACCCTAAGTCAGCTCTGAACTCACAAACACGACTTCCAGTATAAAACTCACTTCTGACAAGGCATGTCAAAAATATTTCAGAAATGGAATTAAGTGAATTTGAAAGCCAAGCAAATTTCAAGTACGAGTGAAAACATAAGATTAAAACAGGAAAACATCAAGTGAACATAATCCTGCGTAACCCTGACCCACCCAATAAAAGAAAAATGCAGCTTTAAGGATAAGTCAAAATACTTCACGACAGAAAAAAACAACAAAGGAAGGTTACTTATGTGCTCTGGTCTTGCAATTTCAGTGTAAGGAAGCCACGTTTTTATAAAATTAAAATTCGGAAATTTTTCTAATTCCAATAAATCAATGTATATCATAGACGACAGTAATAAATGATAAAATGTTCTTACTGGTTGAACAGCACCTTGATTTGCTGGAAGATAGGCTCTAAAACACAAAATAACGACAACAAAATACAATTTAATTACAAAACTAACAATCTGCTGATGTAGTTATTTATGAAACACTCTCTAAACAGTTATTGTTTTTTTAAATAGCAAATAGCATCTCCCAAAATCGGACACCAAGTGTCACCAAGTGTTGGTCCCTGATGTAGTTCAGTCATTTTCCTAAAAGCACATTTAATAAACACGGACACCTCTCAGAAATGGACACCGAATATTTCCAAAACGACTTTTTCCATGGAAAAGCACTTAAGGGCGGGAATACAGCCGTTCAAAATGACAGTAATGATGATCTGGGAACTTCATTTTATCATATTTTTAAATACAATTCTACTATTGCCTAAAGGACTGGTGATTAAATTAATTTGGCTTATTGTAATAAAGTTTACTATTACAAAAGATAATAACGAGTGTAAATCTTGTAATCTTTTAACGCAATAATTCCATTGTCACCACTAGATCCTTTTTCACCCTCTGTCAAAAAAAGCCCAAATATCTTGAGGCGAATACCTTAGCATCACATGTTCCCGGCATTCCCCTTGGTCCCTGTTAGCCCTTTTGTCCTTGTGGTCCATCCTGTCCTTGTGATCCTTTATCACCATGCTATCCTTTCTCACCCTTTTTTAAAAACCCCAACATGGGACATCCGCATTAGTACAAATCAAAAATTGTCCTGCAATTTGGATTTCTTTACAGGATAAAATGGTTCCAATCCAAGCCATTGAACATGATCTGAAATTATAGCAATTTTTTTTAATTGATGCAATGGTAAGCTGGGTTGTAAAAAAGTTCAAATAACTTCATATTTAAAATTGTTATATTGAATTTCCGTGAATGGAAAGCAATATCCCAGTCAATCCTGACTTGATACAGATGCACTGGTCAAAGTTACATCTTATACATCTTTAGGCTCCGTCACACTAGTCACAACTTGAAAACAACAACTCTTCAAATCCACTTGGCGTCCAATAAATAAGTCAAACGTTATGTTGCTATCGTAAATTTAAAAATATGGAGCTACACTTTGGGAGTAAAGATCAGCAGCCTTAGGCAGAAAATATCTTTGAATTCTTTGCTAATGTGAAAACATCACTTCGTTATCCTTCGTTCATACGCGCAATGCTTCTTTTTGTTGGATTTCCCACGATAATAGACTGCGCAATCATTTATGCAAAATTTTTCTGAGCTTATATTAACTTTTTAGAAGAAACTTAAAAGTTTTTAAAAAGCAGTACATTTCTAAACTAATACCTTATCACCAGCGTTTCCATTTTGTCCTAATATCCCTGCCTCTCCTTTTTCTCCCTGGAAAAAAAAACATCAATCCCAAATCTAAGGATATCACGGTAAAATACATATTGCGGTTTAGGAAAATCACTAATAGGATTCTAGCTACAAGTATCGAGGATGAATAAACCACCTCTATAGTTCGAAAAACACAGAGCGCAAATAACGGGCAGAAGCTGCTGGCAGAGGAATGCGAATAGAGACAAGGGAAACAGTCATTAGGGCCAAAAAATAGCTTTGGAAGTTGAGCAACTGAAATAAAACGATTTGTGAGGTTGATTAAATTAATTGTCGAATTAGCTGTAGATAGAGGTAAGTAATTGATGTAAAAGACATAAAAAAATCACGGTATTTCGCAAATTACTGCTTGAAACGAGATTCAAGACATTCTTAGTTAAGCTCCAAGTTAAAATTCGATAAAATAAAAACAACAAGGGATCGGATCAGCAAATAACGAGTATGATTCTGTTTGGTGAAGTTTCTTGACGGAAATGTTAAACTGCCATTATTTCCCAGAGACCCGACCAAAATAACCAAGCAGCAGGGATTTCCGACTTTTTTCTGAAAGGTTTAGTGCCAAAATGATAATATATAGATTTAGCCAAGGCTAAAAGCGAAGCTCTCGATAATATTTAAAGTTTGTTCAAACAAAATATAAAATCGTGTAATGCTAAGCGGCGAAGGCAACGTCAGAGAACGGAGAAAAAACAACAATAGGTCTAATTAACAAAAAAGCAACCTTGCACGTGCAGCACACTTTTTTTGCACATTCTTTGCCGTTGTTTTGCACGACCACAACGTGAAACTTCCAGAAACTTTTTTATGGAGGAAATGTCGTACGTGTTCTCGTTCACTTTTTTTTTCACTGCCGCTCATTTTCTCCTTGCATTGGTGGCCGCTAGCATTTCTCATTTTGTCACCGCCCCTACAAAATTTTCATGTTGTTCTTCCAACAAAAAAATGTCTCCTTTGTTTTTTATCTCTCGCTCTAGATCTCTGTTGCCGTTTTTATCGTTGAGTTTCGCTGGGTTTCCTCTTTTTCTCTTTTTCTCTGTCTTTCTCTGGCTCTATATTCCAAATGTGTGGACATGACAATTAATCTAAGCTTAATAGTTTAGAAAACACGGATACAGAAACAATTTCCGCTTTTCGGTTTCGTCTTTATTGACTCTTTAGTTGCCTCTACTTTACAGACGCGGGTGGCTATGGGATTTCCCGCCAAAATAACCTCGAGTTGCATTTGGGTTGCCATACCTGTTGATTGAGTTATTTCACATTGGTATGCCTGTGGTGCGGACGGACGGTCGGGCGTACGGTCACGTGATTACCAAATTTTCTCGGATGGGTAGATTACCACATTTTCTTACCCATGGTGCTCTGCAGCGCGCTTCGCGCGCCAGAGCTCCGCTATTAAGTGACATGGATTAGATATGATTCTTTTTACACAAGTTAAAGGGAAGGATGGGAGGTGCACTCGAGTAAAATTGTTTGGCTTGAGCTGCTAGCTCCCGAGAGCTCTAACCTAATATTTCTAGGTTATTTCTTTGGTCAATAATTGAGGAGCTCAGTGCAAGAACGACTCCTTGATTTTTTTTTGTCATTTTAGAAAGTGCTTCAAAGTTACTAAAGTTTTTGCATGTCACTTTTATTTAAGCAGACTAACATGTCTCTGAAATTTTTTTGCTTTTTTTTGCTTTATATTCCCCGTCGCTACAAAGTTAACTGAGTTGTGTGTTTATGGTCAGTTCTCCTTTTTAATCCTTTTTATTTCCAATGAGGCGGTGGTGTTGAATATGTGCGACCCAATTCTATCAATTCTGTTGAACATACAACTTCATTATAGTCAAACCATTCAGTGTCAAATGATTCCTTTTCTAGGGAGACACGTAACGTTGTGTTAAATCGATGAAGTAAACAGGCGATTACGAATTTTTTCTCTTTTCCGGGAAATTGCTGTACTAGTGGAATGGAATGTATGTATATCTTGAACACGTGAATCACAATTAATTTTTCGTCGAACACAACTCAACGTGAAATTATCCAATGCAACGTTTTATATAGGGGAAAATACACAATGAAGAATTTTATCAGTCTTGATGTCCCTTTTCGCCCCTTTTCAGATTCCCAAGTTCAAATGATTACGCGAGTTGAAACAAGCTACAAGTACGAAAGCGCACATTTACACAGACGTTTTTATGCTGGCTGTCTCGGCCGTGTTTTGCTTAACAGACCTTAATAATTCCATTCCTAATGGTAGCCTAATAGTGGCCAAGGGAAAACGACGAAAAAATACAAATGTATCTTTGCGAAATGTAAAGAAATAAATACTATTTTGTAAAACGTTTGCTAAATGAAAGAGGTTTAAACAGAGATTTGAATTGCTAGTACACCATAGGATCTCTTCCTAAGATTTAAAAGTTAGATTGACAAATAATCTTGTCATAACACAGTGATAATATGATCTAGGTGTGTAATTCAGTACAGAGAACATTAACTCGCCTTTGCTCCAACAGTTCCATCACGTCCGTCGCGGCCATCTCTTCCTGAAGAATGCATTTAAACACAGGAAAGGCATTAATTCACACATGACAATTTGGGTCGTTTGGTATCACTTGGTTTTGATGTTTATATTTATTTACATCACTGTTTTTAGCACTTAAGCTATCCAGCGTATAAAATGAATCTTTTATGAGCAGATCATTCAACAAAAACTTCAGAATATTCTTTAGAGTTTTCAGTTATGACACTACAAGAAACCAAATAATTGTATGCACTTCTGCAAAAAACAAATTTTCATATTTTTATTGCTATTGTGGAATTTGTAACTCGCTGTTCAATAGTAGTTTTATTTCTTCCCAAGTCAGTTTTGCACTCCACGAAAATTGAACACTGCAGTATCTTTTTTCCTTCAGTGTTATCATAAACACGAATGTAGGGGCAACTCTTAGATATCTGAACCCAAACAAAAGTGCGATGTCTTTGATTGTAACTTCTCTTTTGCAGTTTTTACTTTGCATTAAAATCGCGGATTTCTTAGTGTTCGGCCTGAAGGAATTAATTGGCACGTCGATAAATGTAAATACAATTTCCACCTCAAACTAGATCACCATTCATTCCATTTTTTCAATCTTTTCTGGCTCTAAGAAGACTACGAAGTGGCTACTAAACATTACATTTGAATCAGTGACGATTCATAACACTGGAGAACTTACCATTTCTTCCGCATCCAAGCAGTGGAACAGTTTTACAGTTGTTTTGGCTTCCGGCAGATTTGTTCGCCTGTTTGATTATAATCATTGAATAAAAGAAAGAAGATTTAAGGCAACGTTGCTAAAAATTAGACAACTTTCAGTTCCAGACTACAGAAAATACGGTAAAGGGAATATACGACGACAAGAGTACCGGCCAGATTTTCGAAAATACAGTACCCTCGGCTTACATTTTTAGAAGATTTCCTTTCCAACGTTCCGAACGAACCGACCAAGAAAATGGTCAAAGCCAGCAGGAAGATCAATCGAAACATTTTCTGATATTTTTCAGTGGTTCAGCGGCTCAGACCTAAACTGGAAAAAGCGTCAAATGTATAAAGGGACAAGATTTTTGAAACAATGTTAGCATAATTAGGACATGAATAAACGTGATACCATCCTTTGTTCATTCTGTTTGGCGGACGAACTAAATTCATTGTTAAACAGATCTTCCATTCACGCCAGGGTTCAAAATTAAAACTTTACTCTGAACAACCTCAAAAACCTGGTTCACCTGCTATGTTATTGTGGGTTAAAATCTCTGTCCTTAATCCCCTTTAAATGTCTTCTTATTATTTATCAAATATTATCCTTGAGCAAATGGTTGGCCTCGCATTTACCATTTTTCAATCATATTTTTAAAAGGCACTCATGCAGGAAGTTTATATATACTATTGAAAGCATTTTGATTTATGAACAAACAAGCGAAAGTCTCGAACTCAGTCGCGGAGTCTGTGTCGAACTCGGACTGACTTGAAAATAAAAAAATAAATGGCAAACTAAAGAAACTAAAGTGCCTCTATGAATATTTCAGTCTAGTTGTCGGCAATTTGCAGCTCCTAAACAAATGAACTGTAATCCATGAAATTCTATTCAAATTTGAAATGATGCTTTGTTCACCGCGATCTGCTTTCAGAAACTTGGTGGAAAGTCGATAATCTGTTCTTTGGACTTGAATGAATAATACTCGGAATTTGATTTAGCACACGTACGGCTAAGCTGAAATGAGAAGTGCGGGGGTAAAATCAATCCTAAACTCACGAATTTTTTGACCGGAAGTAAATTCGCTCGGTGCCATGTGAACGTCCTCCTTACTTTATATTCAATTTCTCATTGTTTCCTGTTATGGCGTCTACACTACATGCCGTTAAAAAGAGCAAACTGATATTTCGGTATGATAATTTTGAAGCATGCTGGATCATTATTGTACACCATTTCCACTGTCAGAACAACCACTTACTGCCACTGCGAAAAAAAGTTATGGGAAACGAGATTTTGCAAAGGCAGAGGGTCGTAAGACAGGGAACGGAGAGGGGGATACGCGTCGACCAACGGGAGGTGGGAGGGTATGTTGGGAGTTGCTGCGTTCCTGTTGGCAGTGGTGTGCAAACAGATGCAACAACTCCATGCAATGTTGGGACCTGCAGTGCATCGTGGGAAGGGTATGACCTATAAGACCTTGGAGACAATGCGTAATACGAGTGCGTGACTTCAACAATGTTGGAAAAGCTGCGCAAACGGATCCAAAATTGTTGCGCTACGCTTCGACGATCACGGAACAAAGGAAATGTTGGGAGTTGTTGGCTCAAAAGTTTGACCGGTTTCAAACCTTGCGCACGCGCAACAACATGCAACAAGGTGTACAAACGGACGCAACGTTAACATGTATCATTTAACAATGTTGCGAGTTGTTGGCCAGGAAAGTTGTGTCCTTTTGCACGGGGGTTTACTTGGCAAAAAAGAAGGGAAAAACCATGTAACTGGATTAAAGGCCTGTTTACATGGGGTGGGGGATCCCGGTCTAGTGGGGTTGGTTTCTTTTGTTTTCCCCCTCTGGAGGACACAAAACAAAAGAAACCTACCCCACTAGACCGGGGTCCCCCACTCTATGTAAACAGGGTCTAAATAGGCAAGAAGACTCCCCCGAGACTTCCAGTCGATTGTCTGTAATGCCCTGGGGTGAAAATAGGATACCAGCATAGCGCGCAGGCAAAAAACAAAAAAACAAGTGAAAATATTACGTTATGGTGCACTCACTTGCTACGTAAAAGTAGTCACAGACTAGTTCTCACTTAAGCCCCGTGCAAACGGACGCAACATTGTTCGCCAACAACTCCCAACATTGAAAGAATGAAAGATGGTGAATTTTGAGCTCTGTGACGGGATTTGAATCTATGACCTCCCAAACACCGGGCGGGCGTTCTATCCACTTGAGCTACGGAGAACTCATGGAGAGCGAGGCCATAGACACGCGTCCTGCATACTGCAAGGATCAGCAAGGTCGATGTCGTCCACGCCCTTATACGGTTTGCGACGTCATCAATTTTAGCGCTCAAAGACAACTTTTGGAGGAGCAAGAAATCTTTCAAATCATGCCTAGGTTTCAAGTAAACCTCTTTTTGCAAATTTGAAAATTCTTGATGTTTTTAGTATCTACTCCCTCCAAGTTAGTTCTTTCATGTACCTATATCATAATGATGCTTTCCCTTTTTCTTTTACTCAAATCTTTCAAACTGGAAATCAGACTCATCAATATTCAACCAGATACTCTGACTTTTACCGACCTCAGACCTGTAGAACAAATATTACAAAAATTTCGATCCGGTCTCAAGGTCCTAGAATATGGAATTCATTACCGAACAACATCAAAAACGCCCCGACTTTTAATATATTCAAGCGTGTGATCAAAACATTTTTAAGGGTCAGACAGGATACAACCTAAATACCTTAACGCTTTATATCTATATTTTTCTCTAATCACACTTATATACACTAAACGCACTTATATACTTAAAATACAGTCTTTTTTCGTTATTTTTAAATGTCGCCTAGTATTTAAATTGCCACCCAGTGGCGGGAAATCTCTATTCGTAATAAGCTCGTTGGCCTCTCGGAGATTTCCGCGCCCCTTCCAAGCTGTATGCTAATTTTAAATTTCATGTTTATTATCTTTTTTATTTTATTTGTAATTTATTCTGTGTGGCAAAATAATAAAATAAAAATATAATAAAATTCCAGAACAATTAAGTCAAGGAGGCCGGATAAAAAGACCAAAAATACGTAACGTTGAGCCGAAAATGATGATGAAAATCCTCCACTAACCACCTCCACTTCCTTCCTTCTAATCCCGTTAAGTCTCGAGGTCCAAAACGTTTCCTACGGAAATCAGGCCCACTAAATTCCCAGGACCAAAAAATTGAACAAGAATAAAGAAAAAGGACGGGAGGAGGGAAAGCGAAAGGTAAAAATGCCACGACTTTTTAACCCAAAATATCGAAATTTTCCCCTCCTTTCGTGGTTCCGAAGCCGATATATTGCATCTGGAATAAAAGGCGTAAAGTGCTTGACCTGTAGACGACGTTCCTGGCAGTTTTCGCTCTTTATAGGCAGAGATAGTGAGCAGCAGACAACGGCTCGTCTAGCCTCAAAACGAAAATATTCCAGAAAAGCTAAGCTGGTTTTGAAAACTGATTTGAGCGCTCGAATACTTCTTGTATCTAATTGGCAATGTGTAGAACGACGGTTATTAAAATAACGCCATAACTGAATGCTTTAGTCGACATTGCTACGTTCATCGATCGGCCAATAAAAACTCGCGTTACTTGCATAAGGAATCACCGTTTAAAGCCTATGCTTTCTTTAACTTTCCTTTCCGTTTGCTGATTGCCTAAGCTGTGCTCACTATAACACATAACGTTGAGACAGACACAAATACAAGCTACGCAACATATTCATTTTTGTAGGATTTTCCTTAAAAAAAAGTACACAACCTCCCAGTGTTCCAAGCACATCTTTATTACAACTAATCGCCGCGATAATAAAGCACATTTGTTTTCTAACATTTCACTATATCAACCACCTATATCAACTACGAGTCCCTTCCTATAAAAAACCCTTCTCAACGGATAGACAGTATTACGCTTATAAAGTTCCCGTTATTACTTAGATTAGCAATCGAAATGTTTTAGTTCTTCACTACACAAAATATCTTCTATGCTTGGTCCTGACCTTATGGCCTCCTGCTCTATACCCACTTGTACAGGGCGCTGTTTATGTTGTGCTTCTGGCCATTGTAGTAGTTTGCCACTGCAAGGTAAGTATGTCCTTTGTACTCAAATGACGTCATACCATGCGCTCCATGTGTGGGAATCTCTTGGTACTTGATGAACCTTGCTCCAGAGGCCTGGTACACAACTGACTGAGTATTGTGTTTCTGACTGTCTCCATGGTAATTAGCCACACCAAGGTACGTGAGACCGTCGATCACAAATGGACACAATGCGGTGGCCCCTCGAGTAGGAATGGATTGGAACAAGACAAATGCATTGCCATTCCATTTGTAAATGAACGAATCGATGTTGTTTTTGCTTCCAGAATGTTGGTTGGCAAAAGCGAGGAACATGTGACCGTTGACGTTGAAGAACTTCACATCGTGCGCTCCGTAAGTTTGAAGAGACTGCAGTTTAACAAAGTGACCTCCTGACCACTTGAACACAGTGGACTGAACAGCACGCTTGTGTTGGGAGTTGTAATGATTTGCAAATGCGATGAATGTTTCTCTGTTTATCACAAACGCCGTACATCTCACGGCACCTTCAGTTGGTATGTCTTGAAATCTGTTAAACTTGCCGCTGCTCCATTTGTAGATAACTGACTTTATAGAATGGGTACTTCCGTCATGGTAGTTTGCTACTGCGAGATAACTATCCCCATTTACCTTGAAATAGGTGAAGTGGCTTGCTCCGTTCGTTGATAATTTCTCAAAGTCGACAAACAGCTTTCCATTCCATTGATAGACTGTAGAGTCCACCCGGTATGTTCCATCGTAATGGGTAGGGACAGCAAGAAAATGTTTATTCGCGATAGAAAAGTACTTCAGGCCATACGCTCCTCTTGTTTGCAGGTTCTGGTACAAAGACAGTCTTCCAGTTGAGTTGTCCATCTTGTAGATCATGGAACTTGTTTTCCGTTTCCTAATGTCCCCATGATGGTTGGCAAAAGCAAGAAACAAATTTCCATCAATGGTGAAATGTTCCACACCTACAGCTCCTCGGGTTGGTAGGTCTTGAACTTTTTCAAAGAAGTGGAGTCCAATAGAGCAATCTTCCACAAGAAAAAAAGGATGAACATCTCCGTTAACAACTAATGTCAATAAAAAAACCTAGTTAGAATCAATCGACAAAATAATTTACTCATGCGTTGTGGTTTTGCAATGACCAAAGATGGGCCACGGTGTTATGAACTTAAAATTCGGAAACTCTTCTTTCCAGTGAATCAATGTAAATGTACATCGTAGGCAACAGTAGTCAATAATGTCCTTACCAGTTGAACAGCACCCTGATTTGCTCTAAAACGCAAAATAAGTTGTAAGAACAAAATACAATTAAGGAACAAAGCTAAGAATCTCCTAATGTACACTCCTGGACAAAAGTCCTAGCGAAGTGATGCAGTATTCATAATTTTTTGTAATTTCTGAAGCCCTTATAAAATACACGTTAGACATCTTTTTCGATTTTTTTTTTGCAGTTCTCCCTCCCCCCACCCTATACAATGTTGAAACTCGGAAAAATTCTGGATACACGCCGACACGTGTCCAACGTTGTTTGTGGGGTGGGGGTAGGGGTTGGGCATGTGTGAATTGAAAAAAAGCCGCACAAATGCAAATGTGTCCCAAGACTTTTGTACATGATTGTAGTTGTATATGCAACCAGAGTTGAACACCTGTACAGATAACTTTACGGAAATCGCCCTTGATCCGACACCAAGTGATAGAAAAAGGCTCCTGCTTTCAAGATGACATTGAGCTAATCTTACGTTAACATCATATATGGCAGAAGGAAACATAGACTGCGAGCATTACTGCTTACGCACGTACACTTCTGCCTTTTAAAGACAACAGGCCCGAAAAGGAAGAGATCGTGCATGCAGTTTATGGTAATTAAATTAATATGGCTTATTGTAATAAGGATAATTATCACTAAAGGTTATAAAGAGTGAAAATCTGGAAGCTGTACGGTAGTAATTACCTTTGTATCACACGTTCCCGAAATTCCTTTTTGTCCTTTTGATCCCTTCTCTCCTTGGGATCCTTTGTCACCACGAGATCCCTTCTCACCCTTATTAAAAAGAGAATTTATAATTATAATGAACATATATTAATATTCTAGTAGAAAGCCAAAAAGCTCGGGAATTTTAAAACCTGATCACCACTTTATCCTTTACTGTAGCGATACAAGAAGAAAACTTAAAGTTACATGCGGTACTTGTTTTATACTAGAAACGAATCCGTAAAGAAATAAAATTCGACCTGTTTAGTTAGTTTGGTCGAGCGCCAGCTTGGACATACTAACTAACAGGTCTAGTGTAACATTTAGAACCGTGAGGGACATGAAAATTGAATGAGTGGTGTGTGTGGCTGTGTTGGATAAAGCATGTGCCTTCGTTTTTATTTTGGACACTGAAAATTAGTTGGCAGAAAAAAAAACCATATCTATTTGATTGAAGGTAAATCCACGTTGGAGAACTGATTAACGTTGTTAAAGTGTTCTTTCTTACAGACAAAAAAGGTCATGAAACTTACACTTACTTTAACACCGCCATTACTGTTTTTATCCATTCCTGGTTCTCCTTTCACCCCCTGCAACAGAAATAATAAGGAGGACTTTGCCTGCTTACAAAGGACCTGGAAAATACGTCAACAGAACCCCTGGAAACATCAACATTGAGGACCTCCACAAGATCAGCCACATTTTAAGAAAAGTGCTCTCTACCAACGAGATAATAGCGACTCCCCCCTCCTCTCAGCCACTCCCAAGGAAACTGGTAGCTCCTCGGAGATCTGAGCAGTAAGAACTGCTAAACAAGACATAATAATGATCATCTTCGTCATCATCATCATCAACATCATCATCATCTTTCAAAACGATTGAAAAGCTTTCAAAGTATACAGAATTAGAGATTGAAATCTCTAGGATATGGGGCCTTAAAACAAAAATTTTGCCTGTAAATATTGGAGCTCTTGGCCTACTAAAGACGGGCCTGGGAAAATACGTGGAAAAAATGAATATCAATAAAAATATCAATATCGAAGAACTCTCAAAGATCAGTCTTCTAAGCACAGCCCATATTTTACAAAAAGTGCTGTCTACAAATTAAATGAAAACTCCCCCCAGTCGCTCCCAAGGAAACTGGGCTCTTCTCGGAACCCTGGACAGTACGAACTGCGAAAGAAGAAAAACATAATAACAATAACAATAACAATAAGTAATTAAAGCACACTGTGACAAAGGAATGACAATGATGATGATGAAGATGGTAAATAACAAATAGAGACAATCTATACTGTGGTGTGATCAAAATAAAGCTAACTGGTCTGGTTATAATTTTGATCATTTTGCTTAGTCCAACCGACATTTAAACACACAAAAGACATTTCTACACCCGATATAATCACTGATGTTTTATGGAGAGATACAAGTGTATGGATCCAGAAACTAAAAACCTCCATTTGAAAAGCAGAACGCATATATAATACCTTAACACCTGCACTTCCATCTCTTCCTGGTTTCCCTGTTTCTCCTTTTTCTCCCTAACATAGATATTTACAAGGTGAAACGCAAACTGACAAATTAACACTATAACTTAGAAGATGACTATTACTATTAATTTTATTCATCTTTTATTTATCTTTTATGAAACTTCAGCCTTATTGGAGAAAAATGATGGTGCACGGGTGCTGCAGTTATGGGTTGGCACATTGCTTTTTGAATGTGGTAGGTGAAGAACCGCTTCATGGACTTGCTACCACTAAATAACGTTTATTTATTGACAGTAACAAAATTACTAAAAATTAAAAGTCAACACATAATTAACCCATTCGCCCCTGAACCGCCCGTAACCGCCCGTGCGGATCCAGGTCCTTTCTACCCTTTGTGACGTCATCAGTTTTAACGGTCAAGGACAACTTTCTTCGCTAACTTGTGCAGAGTGAAGAGATCTTTCAAACCATACCAGAATGAGCACAATTCAGTCAAGGACACCGGAGAAAGAAGCAAAAAACCACGTGACAAGGACCTGAAAATCTCCATGAAAATCTTGTTCCATTACCCACCTACCTTTCCTTTCACCTAATCCTAAGATCCTAAAAGCTTTCCTAAAAACTCTTCCCACCAAAATGAAGCCTACTAAATGCCCAGCAAGAGAAAAAAAAAATGAGGCAAGAAAAGCGAAAAAAGAAGGGAGGAGAGAAAGCGAAAATTCGAAATTTGGCTTTCTGCGCATGCCCGAACTTCGCAAGCTGATATTTTGCATCTGGATCAGAAGGCTGCCAAGTATACGACCTGTAAACCGGTTTGTGGTAAGTTTTAGCTCTTTATAGCACGACAGTGACCAGAAAACCACTCGACTAGCTTCAAAACGCGTTTTTCGGCAAAATCTCCAGGAGCGAATGGGTTAATGCAATTAGTTTAAAAGTGACCAAAACTGCTCCATGCCCATATTTAAATTAACATTACTAACTTGTTGTTCTGAGTTTATCTAGATACACCTGCTTAGTGACTACGTGCATATTTGTATAACCATAGAATAGGGCAAGGAAGGTTACTCAGTGCTGTCAACTCTCCCGGATAATCTAGGAGACTCCAGATTTTGGACCGTATCTCCCAGTCTCCAGATTAGAGTATGAAATCTCCCGGATAATCGCCGAATTTTGCTATTTCTTGTAGAGCCGACTTTGCGACAATAAAATTTCAAATATTTTGCGTTGTTTGAGCTATTTTTGTACTGTTAACTTCGAACGTTTCCTCGTTAAACCCAGTATGCCATTGTAATCTAAAACTTAACGAGATTGGTGAGAAGTAAACCAATCAAGTTAAACATTACAATGCCAACAACATCTTTTTCACACGTTTTGCGTCATCGCAAATTCGTGGCGATCGGAGTCAACAGGTATTTTTTGCACAAATGACGTCATGCGCCCTGCGTTATGACGTCATCTATGATCCCTTTGCTATCAATTCTCAATATTTGAAATCGTGGGGGGTTGACCGTGTCGCTTACTCTATCTTAACTTTTACCTAATAGTGTCTTAAATCAATAAATCCCCCGTCCCCACTGCCAAGGGGCCTGGATAAAATATAATCATTATATTTTGGATCCAGGCCCCTTGGCATTGGGGACAGGGGATTTATCAGGCTCATGCAAAAAGATATTAACTTCAAAGACTGGTAAAAAAACCAGAGCTCAAAACATTTTCAGCTGGAGGTTTTGAGACAAGTTCCCCACCCTTTAAGTGCCACTCAAGTAACTTCAAGCTCAATTGACTAAAGAGCAAAGGAACTGACAAGTCATACTCACATAAAAATGCAATGTAATTAACCTCTTCAGGCAAGCAAGCAATTTTCGTAAGGCAGTATATGAATGACTAGCAATAACTTGTTCCTTTTTTGTTAAGGCTTGCAACAATGAAAACATATGACTAAAATTATTTTTTCTGTCCTGTTTCCATTGTTGCAAATATACCTAGTGACAGTGCCCCTTAAGGTTATTGATTTTTTTTTAAATTATTTTATGTCTTCCTCTTCTTTCTCTGAAAAGGGAAAGCCTAAATTTTTACGTTACCTCAAGCTTCAAAATGTTAGTTTAAATACAGTAAAACTTCTTTTTGGCAACATGTTATCTTCTCACTACAGAGAACGTGTCTGAGATATACAGTTCCCTGGTTTGTTTTATTCCTGAACTTTTCAATCAAAAAGAGAAAACAATGCATTAACATTAAGAAAGGCCAACCTTTATTCCACTGCCATCTCGTCCATCACGGCCATCTTTTCCTGTGTTCAAAACAATTAACAAAATGTAATATTCACATTACAGGGCTGATTCTCTAGCAGCAACCAGTGGCCCCTAAAGGACATCTTAGCTTTATCAAAAAAGTCCTACACTTGGTACCCTGGATTTCACAGATACAGAGCATCCAGGGCTCCCTTTAATTTTTCTTAGAGAACAGCCTAATGAATTGTCTAAAAGCTAGGGTAGAACACAGACAACCAGCTACGAGGGAAGGGGAGAAGAATGTTGCAAAAATATGTTACTGCAGTAAATGAACAGAATGAGCCCCATGGCAAAGATTTATTTTGAGAATGACAGGAACATAAAATGTACATCACCATTCACTCCATCGCGTCCATCTTTTCCTGCCAACCAAAAACAACACTTAATTATACCAGTGGCCGTGGAGGCATTATTTCTTAACCTATAATCATGCTGCATTAATGTCAGTTGTAATGAGAACCCCATATAGTGGGGGTTCATTGGGGTGCCGACGGAGTGGTGCAGTGGTTTATTATTTTGGGAAGTTATATACCAGTACATTATAAAATTTACACTTTTTGCCCGCTTGAGCGTATAGCTACTTAACCTGGAGAATGGGATAGAGCTAGAAACGATTGGCATTATTTTCAACTGGGACATTTCCACATGTCACTCCCATCCCTCTGCCACCGAAAATATAGCATGACATGACATGTAGTAACGTGACTAATCTGATCTAACAAGAAATTCCAAAAATTATTGTTGTTCTATGGCTATAAAATGTGACACTGGGTTAATTTTGGTGTTTGAAATACTTTTTTAACAGGGCTCAAAGTTTAAATTTGAGTTTGGGCAGCATTTGTGCTACCAGATGTAAATTTTTAGCTGCGCTGCCAAAATTTTAGGTGCACAGCTGAAAATTTTAGGAGCACAGCTCATAGTGTTGGGAGGATCTTTTTCAAAAGAAAAAGTAAAAAACTTAACAATGTGAATTTGCTTCTCATTTCTTGATAATTTGAGTGTTACCCTCACGGGCAGCCTAATAATAAAGGAAAATTGCTGCATATTAATGGCTGACCCACCATGTTGTCCATCCTTTCCATTTTTGCCTATTGAAAAAATACAGGGGCAATTAATGAAGCACAACTGAACTATTGATGAAACCACAGAACCTGCAGAGCAACTTGATTGAACTGATCTGATCCCACTTAGAATGCAAACCCTTTAATGTATTTTGCTGGCCTTTGGCTCAATGTGTGGTAAATTTTAACCTACTATGAAGATTTGTTTTTTTTTTTTTTTCAACATCCATGGATAATCATTCTGCTGTAAATCAATAATTTTCCAATTATTGCAAACTCACCATCCTTACAGCAACCAGCTTGAGGTACAACTTTACAGCTTTTAGACTTTGCTGCAGATCCATTAGTCTGTTAGATTGGGAAATTTAACATACTTTCATCACCTAAGGAAGACTGCAAAGTCTAGATAAATGATATATGAAAATGCTCTAGCATAAACTGAGTTGCAATAAGAAGAACATGAGCATGGAAATGAAAGTGGTAAATTAAAAAGCAGGAAATTATAAGGGTTAGACTGAATTATTATACCCGCCAAGTATCACGCCTAAGGAGCAATTGTTATGCCTGTGGATCAAAAAACTTTGTTCTCACTCCTACTCACACCTGTGTTCTAATTTCTCACGCCTGGTAGAAAAGTTTGAGCTATTACAGCATGAACTGACACATTTTGAAAAATATATTAATTATCTAAAGAAAATGGAACCAAAGAGAGAAAAGAAAAGTCCATGTGACTGATCCACTTTTTCCGAGTTATTTATTTTAGTAGGGAAAGTAAAGGGTTGTGTTCCTCCATCTTACCATGTTCATGTTAGACGGAACCCTTTGCTCCTGTGTTTTTAGATAGATAGATAGATAGATAGAGAGATAGATGGATGATAGATAGATATATAGATATATATATAGATACGTAGACTTGAACTAGGTCAAAAACATTTACTTGCTACTCAGAGTTTCATGCTTCATGAGAAGCAATCATCAGGCAACTGCCAAAAAGAAACAATACATGGTGTTTTATAGTGATTTTGAAAAAAAAAAAAAAAAATACCAAGCAGAAGTCACGACATCGCACTCGAAGCAAACTTACATTAGTCTTTGTGACACATCATTCAAATCGCGTTACAGAAACCACACTTGCTCCTTTAGAAATGAACATTATAGAAATTCCACTGAGCTAAGCAAGTATGTATGGGGCTTGAAAGACAAGAAAACTGACTACCAAATTAGATGGAGGACGATTAGACATGCAAGATCCTATTCAAATGTAACGAAGAAGTGTAATTTATGTCTGTGGGAGAAGTACTATATAATTTGTAGACCGAATATGGCGACCCTGAACAACAGAAATGAACTCGTATCAAGTTGCAGACATGCAAAGAAATTTCTTCTAAATAACGTGATTATTTAAGCCTGCAAGACGTATTTTATTTTTTCTTTTTCAGCGGTTTACTGAAAATTGTTTATCCCTCGCTATACAACCCAGCCTATTATGAATGGCTACCGTTTTTTTTTTTTCTTTTCAAAATCACTATAAAACACCATGTATTGTTTCTTTTTGGCAGTTGCCTGATGATTGCTTCTCATGAAGCATGAAACTCTGAGCTTCTGCCATGTAGCACGGAGAGGCTTGCCGTGCTACACGGCAGTAGCACGACTTGGTTTCACACGTCGCACTACTGCCGTGCTAAAGTCGAATTTAATTCAATCAATTGAGTTCGGCACAGCAGTAGCACGACGTTTGAAACAGGCCTTAGTTGCTACTGTAAGTACTAAGCAATAATTAGCTAACAAGCGACACAAAAGTACGTAGTGTAAGTTTTATGCTTTTATAAGCTTACCAGTGTAAAATTAACTCTTCATTACAGCCATTTTGAAGCAAAAAACTGCATTTTTGACCAAATCCTCCTTATTGGAGCGGTTTTTGGCTAGCTAGTATGGGAATGGCTAAAAAAGACATTTTTGACACTCAAAGCATATTTTTCTGCTAATTAATTATAATTAAGCAGCTTTTTTGTTAGACTACGAGTAGTCCCCATTGTAGTCATTGTAGAGTAGAATTGACTGATGCATTAACGCTGTTAGGATTGGTCACAATTTGCTAAAATGAGGTCCCTGTGGAAAGATCTATCCTTGCTGATTATGCTGTTTACCATCTTAAGAGCTTAAATGGATAGCTGAATGGATCCATGAAGGAAAATTTTCATGATTCAAAAATTAGGACCAAAAAGAACAACAGTCGTCAAAGAGTTAAACTCACCTGAGCTCATCTTTTTGACCTCACCATTTTTTGTAAAGAGTAACAGCCATTTAAACAATTAAGAGCGACTGCCTGTAAATATCGACCAAAATCGACTTTTTGTGGCACAAGTTCAAAATTCAAATTTCGCTCATTTTGGGCTCATCGATAACCCTTAATGAGTAATGAAACATGCCGTAGTTAGTTTTCCCAAATAACGAGTTCTTTTGTTAAAATTCGAGAAAACGCATTTTGCCCGTTCAGAGCTCCAAATCCACTTCCGGTAAAGCGAAGTTTTACAGAAATTCTATTGACTCGTATGTCAAACCACAACTATTTGGCAGCCTTTGAAAAACACGAATAGTTTTTATGACCCTTTCTTTCTTATAAGATGATAAATTTGTGAGAGCTGTAATAATTTTGTGGCCAAAAAGGTATTGTTAAAAATAGGCCCTATTGACAATTTCTACTGTTCAAAATTATAGGGTTAAAGTAATGCAATTTTTTTCAATGCGCTGTAACTTAGAATTTCGCAAATTGACTTTCTACGGCTTAACTCGGCCCCAATCTATTAGAAAATCGAAACAAATCTCTGGGCAAGTGATTTTAAGTAGCCCGCAAGACCTCGAGTTCAACCCTAATTTTGCGAAAAATCGGGACATTCCAGTGGTTAAAAATAGCGTTACACGGCCGGCCCGTCACGCCAGCGGTGTTAACGACGGTTCTATTTCTATTCAACGCTGATCACATGCCAAATTCCAGCATACAATCTATATTACATCTTTCAACACACTTATCTTATTTAGAAGACTCATTTTGTTTGGATACAATATATAGTATAGAATTGCCCAAAAGTCGGCTTTTTTGAGCGACGTCGGCAGGACGTCACGACCGGGCCCAACGAAAACAGACTTTAAACAAGTACAGTGGTGTGTTTTATTAATTTAAGCATCCGTCAAAAGGCATAAATACGTTAAATTTAAGAAGGGGACAACCAATAGTAACTAATTAGAACACTTATTTTTCTTGCGAGTTTCTCTTTCGAGTAATTATGTATAAGTACACATGTACGTTCCGATGTATTACTATCACGCTTATAAAGGTACATTGTAACGAACGTTTCAGAAAACATTTTAACTCGTTTGGATCGACAATGAAATACCATCATCAAGAACAAATCACCAAAAACTTTCTTCTACAGCAAAATGGAAAATAGAAAAAAAAGTGGCGTTTTACTAATGCTAAAGAAGGAATAGTTGCATCTTGAGTATGAGCTTTTAAAAATGTCAAATGCTCCTAAATGGACATCTATAGATCCCTTGCATCGGCATTGGAAAAAACTCTCTGGCCCTCTATGAACTAGCCTGTTCCAGGCGTAGTGGATATTGGATAGTGGATGGTGGACAGTAGCGCGAAATGGGGAACGGAGGAAAACAAACGTGGAAGAGAGTAGGAGGACCTTTCGCCCTCTCTCCCAAACCCCGCCCTTCGCCATTTTTTCTAGCTCACTTTACTTTGTGTTTTCCCAACTACCTGTTACAGGTTATCTACGTCCTCCATTTCCAAATTTTTATGGTATGTATTCAAATTGAGCGTCGAGCACTTTTGACGCTTTGTTATTGATCAGCACGGGAATAGCCTCCCACGCAAACGTTCTTAGGGACGAAGCCCTAAGAACGTCTGCGTGGGAGGCTAGCACGGGAACGGATTTGGTAGTACTAACTTTTCAACTGCTTTTAGCTAGACTGCGAAACTGTCATTTTTTTTTTCTTTTTTGTTTTCTTTCTTTTATTTTTTCTTTTTCAGTTCTATCGTATTTTTTAGACGTATTTTTCGCTTCTCTCCTTAGTCTCACTCACTCTCCCCCCTCCCCCACCCCATATGCTCCACACAAAAGGGGACGGCCATTTTGTTTTGCTCCAGACCATTCGTTTGACTATTCCGCGTTCTTGGCTTACGCAAAAAGTACGGGCTGCTTAGTGGTCTGAAACAGACTCGTACCCAGTCGCTATTTATGTGTTTTGGGGGTGAGAGAGGAGTAGGTTGAGGCGCGCGCGGGGTCTCATGGGAAGGGACGAAGGAAAAATAGCTCGCGCGCCTCAACCTAATCCCCACTCTTCTCTCACCCCCAAAAGACATAAATAGCGACTGGGTACGAGTCTTGGTCTGAAAGACTTTGCACTGATTGACGTTTTAGTGTCATGGAAACTCTAGCCGTAATTCCTGAGCCGCAGATAACAGGTTAAAAGACTGAAAGTTGCTTTCAACAGCGTTTGGAAAGAGAACATCGTCTTTTCCGCAAAAAAGAAAAATAACAATAAAAATACGGAAACAAAATAGAGTATAATACTAAACCTAAGAAGAATCTTGTAACGAACGAATGGGAACACCTAAAAAGGAAAGACAGACTTGTGGACTTTCCTCATCCTCCGTAGCCTTAGTTCATGAAACTTAGACGCCCAAGAAGGCCTCCAAAACCGGCTTACCTTTGTCTTGTCCCAAAACCGAATTAGACTAAGAGCCTTAGTCTTCTTTCCGTAAGTACCGTGTAGATCTCCAGAAGAATTGTTTGCAGCCAGCCCTCAAAACCCCCAAGACACGTCGCCTGCTGCTGGACAATATATAGGAAGGCTATTCCAAAGAACTTCACCAGAAAAACTATTTTTCTTAACATTTGTCTGGGGTAGAGGAATAGCGAGGTTTCTGTTGGTGTCTCTTAATTAGTTATTAGAGATATTACAACGATGTGCCATTGCTACGATCTACTATGCACTTAACAAGAGTCCCTCAAGGTACCTAAGATATGTGACGCATAGTCTGCGATAGACCCGCCTCTCACCGCTCTTTGACGAAATGTTCCCATTGGCAGATAGCGATGAGAGGAAGCTGCATCGCAGGCTTTTGGACACAAGGCTTTTCTACTATTTACATGGGTAAACCGGTCGCTTCACGATTTGGGCTAATGGTGAGCAGAATTCAGGACTGACGAATTTTGATTCCGTTCGGTAATCGCGTTTACGATTGCCTAAGTCAATTTCGTTTAATGAAAAACGGCCGCGAAAGCCTGAAACTAATATTCAAAAAAGGTTTGAAGACATGAAATCCGAATTTCCGCCTG